GCGAGTTCTCCCAAAAAGCAGCCCGGGCCTGGGGAGGGAACTTGGAGCCCTCCCCACGCCTAAGAAGTGGAGTGCTGCGCCGCTGAACGAGCGGCACATCCTGCCTGGAACGAAACCGAATCCTTCCCACCACAGCCTTTCCCTCTGCCCAGACCCGCTGGGCTCCGGCTAGTTCCTCTCCCGCCGCCAGGCACGGTGACACAGAGGGCTGGCAGCCGGACGGGAATTAGTCACGGTTCCTCCTCGCAATTGCTGCTCCACCCTGCGAGCTCCGCTCCCCGGCGCTGGAAGAGGCAGTGGAGGCACACACAGGGCAGAGGTCCCGCACAGCTGTCACCGGGGCAGGGGCTGGGTCAGGCATACAAGTCAGCATGAATCATCCTGAAACTAAGGGACGGGGGCAGCAATCCTCTAGAAGAACATGGGCTGCTGGGGCCATAAAAGGTGGGCCGAGTTAAAGAAAACCTGGGGCTGAGCCAGCGGTTGGAGTGTACATCACACACCCAGTGAGGTGAACTGTGGGGCATCGTGTGGCTTCCACGGGAGCAATCCCTCCTCAGTCAGCATACGGAATGCAGCTCACCTCACCAGAACTTGTCCTCAAGGCATGGGTCCTTACTACCCAGAGAACAACAGCAATCTGCATTCAGCTCCCATTCCCAGCCTGTCTCATGCCTTTGCTCGGGCCAGGACACACCACACACAAGTAAGCCTCAGGGAAATGTCAAGGAAGCAAAAAGTGAATAATGTTGGTACTTTTTAAAGCTGTGCTCTCAAAGAGGACAACACAACCCACACTTTCCAACCCACTAACCTCACAAGAGATAAGAGCTGTATCTGCTCCCACATGACCCAAGATCTACCCCACAGTGCCAGGCACTGTATGAAGAGCTGGGGGCACCACGTAAGGGAAGGTATGAAACTGACTGTCAGCAGCAGCCTTGCAACTACAGCTTGCCAGAACAGCAGCACTATGCAAGGCTGAGGTTTGCACCAACCCTGGTAGCAAACGTGATGTGGGTCAGCATTTAAGCGGGTGTGGAGGACAGTGGGTAGATTTCTGTGGGTTCCAGATAGCAGCTACAATTAGACATTACTATAGCAGCAATTAACTCTGGTTTCCTTTGGTAATGACTGAACTAGACAGTCAGAGGTGTGTTTTGTCCTCCCCCACTATACCTAGTTTTTTAAGCCTGAATTTCATTGTTTGAGTCACAGAGGGAGTCTTGTGCAGTTAATTGTTGATGTATTGATGGATGCCCAAAGGTTAATGGAAAAGGCAGCTTTCCTGACGAGTTTCTCAGCAGCAAGTCAGAGCCATACGAGCCTGCTCACCAGGCAACAGTGTATCTGGGATGAGAGGACATGACACTACCCAAAGCAGCAGCAAAAAGTGACCCACTGCAAGTGAAAGAGGTCCCTACCCATTCTCTGGCCAGGTCACAAGTAGCATGTCTTCAGGCAGGTATGTCAGGACTCAATATTCTCTGGACAGGCAGACAGGAGCCCTCCAGTACCTGAGTTACACCCTGCTAAGTTCAGGCACTCATTTAAAACCAGTTTCTCCTTGTGCTGTCAGAGTGCACTAAGTCAGCTGGGTCACCCTCCACATCCTTGCTCATCGACACAGACAGGAAGCAGGGCAGGATTATAGGATGATTCAGGGAAACCTGCCTCCCTGCCAGACCTCTGTCCAAACACAGCAGCTGAACAGGGCACATCTGCAACAAGGCAAGAAACATCCTGCTCCTCTCTACCATGGGAAACTTTGGGTATGTGCCAAAGCTGCTGTGTAATTTGCCCCCGGAGCTCTGCCAGCGATGCTCCTTAATTCCAACCCATGGGCCACTCAAGATTGCATTTGCTTGACCACTGTTTTGCATCTGGCAAGAAGCTTCGACAGCACCAGCTGCCACGTGCTGCATGCCAGGGACTGTCAGCACAGGCAGCCTGAGCCAGCTGACAGGTGGCTGTGCAAGGGGCTGTGCTCCAAGCTCGTGGCAGCAGAAGAGGAGCTGCTCTGCCCCTTGTGCCCTGCCACCAAAGCATCTTTCACAGAGCCTTGAAGATAATGGCACTTCTCTTCCACAGGAAAGAGTCCCTGCAGCAAGCCCAGAGGCAGTCCCCAGCTCTTCATCCAGGGTGAAGGGTGGCCCAGGAGGCATGCAGAGACAGAGGGCTCCTAAGCCCATGCAGTGATTTGGCAATCAATGCCCTGGGGCCAAGGGCATGGTGCTTTTCCTGCTCCACTGGATTCTTTGCCACCCCCAGTTCACCTCTGACCAGGCCTGTCTCCTTCCCTGCAACGAGGACCTGCCAGCTTAGGGCTTTGCTGGTGTGAATGGACAGGCTCTCACTTCCCAGATTTGCATGTCCTTCCCCTTCTCTTTCAGAGCTGGGCCTCAAACTCAAGCCTTTGACCTCTGCCTTCTACTGCTGCCCTCCTACAGTGAAACAAATGCAACAAAACCCTTGGGGCATGAAAGCAGGAGGAGACAGTGTGACATGCCAGCACAGAGAGATGGTGCAGCAGCTCTGAGCTGCCAGTCACCCCTCATGCCCCAACCAGCCCAGCTGGTCACAGGCCCTGGCTGCACAGCCTCCCTCCCAGGCACTGCCAAAGCTCTCAGCACTTCAGAATGACCAACTCAGTGTCCTGAGCTGTGGAGAGCTCTGCACCTCATCGCCACAAACAAACCCCCACCCCTGAGGAGGTAGGGTGAAAGCACAGCCCCTGCAAAAACAAGAGGGCACAGCTGCTCAGGGCCTGCCACAGCCATCCCCTGGGCTGGAAGGAAGCAGGACAGCAGCACAGCCCTCACAACCAGTACAGGACACAACCAGCGCTGGTTCTCCTGCTGCATAAGGTGCTGTGGGTTAATTCAGAAAGCCACAGTGTGACGCTCACTTCTGACCAAGCCAGCAAAGCCTGTCAGGAGATGATGCAACAGCAGGTTTTAGTATCTGGGTTCGCCCCTTCCTGCTAGAGATGATTTGAGTACCCCTAAGTGCATGCAGGTCACTGCTCAAATTGCCTCTCTTCCTCCACCTGGCAGGGGATCCTGGTCTGCCCACACTGCTCCCAGCTGTCTCAGCACACCATGACAGACAGACCTGCTGCATCACCACATTCATGCCTCGCTGCAAGGAGGTGGCCATGAAGCTTGCCATGGTGGGTCACTGTGTGATGCAGAGAGGGACAGAGTATAACCTGGGAGAGCCTCTCGTGCCCCATGAGACCAGCTGCTCCAAGCAGGGCCCCTGCTCTGCACCCAAAATGAGGCCTGAGCTGCTGTGCTGCAGGAGCCCAGCAATGAGACCTTGAGGCTGAAGGGACAGACCACATCCAGCTACAGCAGGGAGCTCCATGAACACTCCTGGACAGCTGCAACAGGGCTCCCAAAGCAAGCAGGGAGGTAGGAAAGGTACAATCGCTGCCATGTGGAAATGGAGGTTGCAAATGCTTCACATCCTTGGCATGGAGAATCTCTTCTGCTTCTCTGTTACACCCCACACTTGAAAAAACGCAGAGAGGACCTGCAGCCACAGTACAGGGCCTGGCTGCCTTCTTCCTCCACCTCACAGCCCCATCCCTGTCTGCTCCTGCAGCCACCCTCACCTCGCGGAAGCTGAGCTTCCCATCAAAGTCTTCATCCACCTCCTTGATCATGTTCTTCAGCCCCAGGTGTGTCTGTGGGGCTCCCAGCTTTTCCATCATCAGCTTCAGCTCCATCAGGTCGATGTATCCATCCCGTCCCGAGTCATACCTGTGGAGTGCAAAGGGGAGGCTGTCAGCCATCTGCCCTCCCAGAACAGGAACCGTGCAAATGGATAAAGTCACGGTGTGGTTCAAAGCTTGGTGGAGAGGGGAAGCTGCACCACACGGCCACTGTTGAGATATATTAAGCTTAGGGAAGTAGCTGGGAACTTTCACAGCTGTCGCACCAGAGAGAGAAGTGCTCAGGGGAGCAGCTCAGACCAAACCACCCACGCAGAAGGAGCATGGAGGAACTCAGATTATCTCAGTGAGATTTCCATTTCACCCACTTGCCTGTCCAGCACAAAGGTTACTTGCATGCAGCTTACACCCATGCACCAGAGCAGTGAAGCAAAGGCATGCCAGAGCCAGCTGCTGCCAGGTCTCCTGCTCATTTCAGGAGAAACAGGGAGCAGAGACCAACCAGAACCTCTAACAGAAAGCAATCTTTCTTTGTAAGTAAAATACACTCCCTCTAGCTGTTAAGATCGTTCCTCTTGAAATGCTTTTGTGCTACACAAGAACAGAACTAAAGGGCAGCTGTTCCTTCTGTGCCCCCAGGCAGCGCAGAAAGGCAGTCCTGGGGGAGCACAGCAATCCCAGCAGAGACGAGGGCTGCACCACAGAGCCAGGCTAGCAAAGGGAACCAGTGCCCACCTTCAGGAGCAAGACTGGAGCAGGCTCATGCTCCCAAGGGACCACACAGGACTCTTCACAGGAAGAGAGAGCACCCACGCAAGGTGCTTCAGAGATGGGGAGGCAGCAAGTGACCTGCTGTGCACCAATTCCTCCTGACATCTGCTGTGGGTGTGAGTAAGACATCAGATCCACCCAGCAACCAGCACTTCACACCCATCAGGGCTATCATTTTCAAAGTCCAAAGGCTGGAGGGATGGGTGCTCTGCTATCAGACAGCCCAACAACAGCCCTCCCTCCCATCCTGGTCCTGCCATCGGGGTTCAGCACAGAGCTGGGGGCTCACATGAGAGGATGGGGCAGGATCTGCCAAGCTGGGCTTAGCCCTGGCACACTGCCTGCCACTGCCCACGCTCCAGCATCTCAACCCTGACAGAGTTAAATCCTTTCAACAATTCAGAAAGGAAACCTCAGGCATGGTGTTGAAGCTTTCCAGTGGCCAAGAGCCAGTCAAATCCTCCCACCCATCATCTTCCATTGACTGTTAGCTCTCTTCCAAAGAAATGAGGGCTGTAGCATCCCAGATTGAGATCTGCACAGTTGTGGTTAACCTGGAAGAAAGCCCTTTCCAGCTGAAAAAACTCACAGCCGCAGAGGAAGCTGTGGCAGAGGAAGGCACGAACAAAGCCACTGGCCCCAAACTGCTCTCAGGCGTAGGCAGTGCAAGGCAGGGCTGCAGCCCAGAGCTCTGCCCCTGCCTTTATGAGCACAAACACAGCATGCTTTCCCCTAAACTAGGCTAGCCTCCACAGCTTTCCAGATTCCCACCACCTCACAACCACTTTTTAAACTCTGTGCCTCTTTGAGTGCAAAGGGTCCCAGGACTCAGAGACCCCACATATCAGAGACATCACCACTGAGCTGGCACACAGCCCCTGCTACCAATCTGCCTGCACTCTCTGCGTCCAGCAAACCCTTGAGCCCACCAAGCCAGACAGCTTTCTGGAAAACCAGGAAAAACTTCCATCACAGCAGAAACCGGGTCACAGACCTGAGATGTCACAAGGAGGAAAGGTAGCAGGTTCATCACAGCAAGGGAGGTGTCAGTTAATTAAGGCACGCATTCACAGCATTATCCAGCCCAGAGCTCAGACACACTTTCAAGACATCACAGAAGCACAATAAGTGCAGTATTTAATTGTCAATTTGTTTCTCCTTTAAGTTTGGAAGAAAGGGTGTGGAGGTGTTCCTCCAGAGTAAGGTGGTTGGAGATGCAGTGCCTTTGATTAGGCACAGCAGCAGTGTTCAGTGGCAGAGAGGCAAGCTGGGATTTTTCTTGGTCCCAGCACACTGCCCTTTGGTTTGGTTCAGAAGCAAAACAGCACCAAGGTTGCCTCTAAGGACTGCCCATCTGGGGCTGAGACACTGCCTGGCCCCTCCTGGAAGCTTTGGATAACGGAGATGAAGGCAAAAAAGGGGCACAAGCCCAGCCCATGCCCGATGCGCTCATTTAACCCTTCTGCTACAGAGACTACCTGCAGGCAAACTCTGGCCCAGGGCCCAATGCACTTCCCTGCAAGGGTTAACCGTGGGGCACAGCTTCAGGGCTCGTCATCCCTCCAGAGAGGCAGCACAAAGCCAGGATTGTGAGAAATGGGGTCTTGCCAGCAGTGGCCGCGGTGGCAGAGCTATACCACCACACAATGGGTGCTGAGCACACTGGGGTGGAGTACAGCTGGCACAG